ACTTGAGACACCCTCCCTGGCCTCCTTTATGCCCTTCCATGATTTCAACAGTTTCCAGTATCTGATGGCTCCCACGTCAGCCTTTCTAGCTAGAGTTTCACATTTCCACTATTTACACTATTTACTGAATATCACTTCAGTCCCATGAGCACTTCAAAGTTAGTATCAAGCCAGCAGTTGGCATGGTGGTTAAGGTGCTGGGTCCCACATGGCCAACTCCATAGTTCAAATCCTGGACCAGGCAGCTTGAAAAACATACCAACTTTTCTATTTCTCTTCTTTCTTGCTTTTTTTATTTTTTATTTTTATATATATATTTATATTTATATAAGCAAATATATAGAGAAAGAGAGAACAGAGAGACTTCAGACTTAAATTCCCATGACGATATGGGATTAGAGTTAGATATATCATTATTGTTATTATTATTATTATTGCCAGAAGGTATGGGTGCTCAGCCAGAGACAGAGGGTTAAGTAGGGAGTGGGGTGGGGAAAACATCCCCTAATGCAGCATGGTCACACTACAATCCCCGCTCCATTTCTCCATCCTGTTGGGATTTGGGGCATAAAAAGTGGAAATAGAGGCTATTTCCCACTTGTTAGAATGGCTACGATAGAGAGAGAATAACAGTGTGGGACAGGATGAGTGGAGATTGGAATCTGTGTGCATTGCTGGTGGGAAGGTAGAATGGTGCTGCCATGATGGAAGACAATATGGTAGTTACTCAAAACATTAATATTAGGGTAACCGTGTCACCCAGCAGTTCCACACAGGCTATGTACCTACAAGGTTGGAAACAGAGTCTCAAAGAGCTATTTGTTCACTCGTGTTCATAGCAGTGTTATTCACAATAGTCAAAAGGTGGATGGGCCAGCAGGTGACATACTGGTTAAGGTAGCTGGATCCCACAGGGCCGACTCTGCAGTCCAAATCTGGAAACCAGAAGCTTGAAAAACATGATGGGTGCTTGTGTGTGCTTGCCCAAAATCCTGAGAGGAGAATGAAGGAGAAGGAATTGCAGTGCGGCCATCCCCCAGGGGATGATTTCTCACTTTTTCTCTCTCTCTCTCTGTGAATCTCTCTGTCTCTCTCCAGTGAGTGTATCTGTCCTATGGCAAAAATCTAAAAAGTAAAAATAAATTAAAAAGAAAAAAATGGAAACAGTCTGAGTGTCCATTAACAAAGAATGGAGACACAAAAGGTGGTGTGTGCATACAATGGTTATTATTCATCCTTAAAAATGAAGAAAATTCTGACACACGTTACTGCATGGGTGAACCTTGAAGATATTATGCTATACAAAATAAACCAGTCACCAACGGACAAAAATGGCTTGACCCCACTTACCTGAGGAACCTAGAATAGTCAATGTTACAGAGACAGAAAGTAGCATGGTGCGTGTCAGAAGAAGTAACCTGTAAATTGACATTTTAATTGTAATGCATTCTTGTATTTCTGCTGCTACTTTTGTTCTCAAAAATATTTAGCCCTTTCAAGTCAATTAAAATCTTTATTTTATTTATTTATTTATTTATTTTGGTGAGGTTTTTTTGCTATAGGGCGTGTGCGCTCGCTAGACAGAGAAAGACAGAAAGCAAGAAATCACCCCCCAGGGGGGATGGCCACACCACAATCCCTTCTCCTCCATTCTCCTCTTGGGATCTTGGGCACGCACCTGGCGTGAGTTTTAAGCCACCGGGTCCGGGATGTGAACCGCGGTCCACTATGTGGGAGTCTAGCGACAGCCATTACGCTAACTGCTAGTCCCGAGTCAATTAAAATCTTGGGCTTCCTGGGGCGGGCAGATGGCACAGTGGTTAGGGGCGCTGAACTCCCACGTGGCTGACCGCAGCTCGAATTCTGGCCCTGGCAGCTTGCTTTCTCTCTCTGTCTCTCCCTCTCTCTGTCTGGTCAAATTAAAATTAAATAAATAAAGTTAAATAAGTTATTTTTTAAAACTTGGACTTGGTGGAAAGTTTCCTTTTTGTAGGTCTTGACTTATTCTAAAAAACCTCCACCTGATTCAAGACAATTAGTTAACTAATATGATCACTTATTTATGTTAAAGGGGGGAAGTATCTTACAGTGGAAAAGCCTGAGCGGATTCGACATGTAACCACCTGACGTGACCCTAAGACACACGTGATGACTGAAGAACAATTAGATAAACCTGTTCTACAAAACCAGTGACCCAGATGGCAGCATAATCAAAGACACAAAGTTTTAAATCTGGGACAGTGTTTCAGGTTTAAAGAGACATAAATAGGGGCCAGCACCTGGCATGGTGGTTGAGGTACTACTGGACTCCCACATGGCTGACTGCGGTTCAAGTCCGGGACCTGGCAGCTTGCTTTCTCACTTTCTCTCTCACTCTCTCTCTCTCTTTCTTCCTTTCTCTCTCTGGTGAGCATCTGTGCCCCATAGCAAAGTTTTAAAATAACAATAAATAAAGTAAAAAAAATTTTTTAATTGTTTGGGAAGTCTAAAAATATTTTCAAAAGAAACAATGAAATATAGTAGGTGATCTTGGAATGGAAAAAAATTACAAGAATTTGATGATTGGCAAAATTTTAGTGATATCGTACATTAAATAATATTGTCATGATGCTAAATATACTCAATTTGGTCCTTTATTTGTAGGAGATACACACCAAAGTATTAGGGATAAAGGGTCATAATGTCTATAGTTTACTTTTAGTGGGCTCGTCAAAGAAAAATGTAAGTAGCATAAAAATACCACCTACTTATAAGTCGAGTAACAGGAGATTCATAAAGGATACCACGTGGGGCAAAAAGGTAATAACGTCAAACATAAAAATATCAGGTGGCAGAAAACTATTGATCGTTTTATTTGTACACGGTGTCACTCATTTTTCACAAACGAGAACACGCCAGGAATCAGAGCTGGAGAATATTAGAATTCAGACAGCCTGAGGGAGGGCAGCTCGCGTTTGGACGTCTGCCGGCGATTTGTGAGGTCGGCAGAACTTCCCTGAGGACACCCCTTAGGTTCCAGCTCGCTGCACAGTCCCCCAGCCTCGGGCAACCGCTCCAGACACACGCCGTACCTGACCCGCCCGCGTGGCAACTCCAGAGGTGGCTACTTACCCCGGGCTGAGCCAGCCAGAGCACCGCATGCGTGTGTGTGCACACGAGCGTGTGCGTGCGTGCATGCGTGTGCAGGCGCTTGAGCATAGCTGATGCCTGCAGGTCCCCGGTGCCTAAGGTAACTCCTGGGAGTGAACGAGTAAAGGATGTTTCTGGAGTGGTTAGCAACGGAAAGGCCCGCGACCGCACTCAGCGTGGGCCTGAATCCTACACATCAGAGGTTGGAGAAATTGCCCAGTAGCCAGTGTAAGTTCAATGAAGGAATTATCCGCTGGGAGTGGGGCGGGGTAAAGAGCCAGGCACACCGTCTGAGGATTCAAGCGGTGTGAGGGGTCAGAGAAGCGACACGACGGAGGACTCGCGGGCTCTGCACGAACTCGGGACCTGCGCCGCGGGCCACCCCAGTCCACTGCCCTCTGGGGCATCTCTGATCCGCCCACGCATTCAGGAGGAGAGGGGTTCGAGAAAGAGGCGCCTGGGCCCCTCCTGGGGCTCGTCTACCCCTGCGGCCTCTCCGGCTGCGGAGAGGACCCCAGGAAGCAGGTGGGGCCACCCCTCGCGCGGCCAGCTGCTGGGACAGTACCTCCAGCGCCGGCGACGCGACACTCAACGCGGCGTCACTTGTCCGTTCCAGGTGCTTGGATCCCGAGGAACTTAGGCGGCTCATGCTGGCCAGAGCCCCCAGCACTCTCCGACCCGGAGCGGGTCTGAGCAAAGCCGCTGCGCCGGTAGCCAGCGGATGGAGGCGCCCCGCGCGTCTCCACGGGCAACCGGTAAACACCGCGGGGAGGCGCCGCGCCCCGCTGCACACCAGCAAGGTGGCCCAGCCGCGGGCGGCCTTGGAGACCCGCCCCGGAGCGCCAGGCAGACTCGAGTCTCCGAGGATGATTCCAGGCAAGGGTCTGCAGCTGAGCCGCCAACGACTGCCAGAGCGACTTGGTTGGAGATGGCGCGCAACGCCAGGTCTTGCCCTTATGTCAAGGACAGCGAGTGTCAGTGTTAACAGTGCTAGCGAGTGTGAGGTGTAGAAGAGTCCGCAAGGTGAACAGAGCATTTACTGAACACCCACTGTGTGCCAATGCACGTGCATCTCCAGGGAGGTCTTCCTAGGCGCGCAGACGCTGCGGATGCACAAGCTCTAGTCTTTCGCTTTAATACTTTGCATCCCTGTCTTGAAGTTCTTAATAACTTTTGAACAAAGATTCATGCATTTCATTTTGTACTGGGCTTTGCCAATTATGTAGCTTATCCTGGCGAGCGTCTTTTTTGTTTAACTTTATGAATCATGCAACTAGGAGATACAGGTTGAGGTTAATACTCCTGTTAGTAGAGCCCTAGCTTCTCATGAGGAGTAATCCCCCATGCTCTTCCACCAGGTGTTCTACGGGCTTCCCAAGCATTAGCTCATTAAACAAAACAACGTTATGAAGAGAATGCTAGGATAATCCTTCCTGTTGCTTGTTTGCTGTAGGGTGCCTGTGCTCACTGGACAGAGACAGAGCAAGAGAGAGGGAAAGTGAGAAATGAGAGGGGGCCCACACCACAATCCCTTCTCCATTCTTTTGGGCACACACACACATGCACCCAGCATCTTTTTCAAGCTGCTGGGTCTGGGATTCCATCTGCCAGTTGGCTGTGTGGACTCCAGCTCCCTTAACCTCCACTCCAGCTGTTGGCCCAGGATAATCTGATTTTTAAATAAATTTTCAATTTTATTTTATGTATTATTATTTTCAATTTGACTAGAGAGAGACAGGGAAAGTGAGAAGCAAGCCACCAGGTCCGGGACTCAAACAGTGGTCAGCCATGTGGGAGTCCAGCACCTTAACCACCATGCCACCTGCCAGCCCCAGGATAATTCATTTTAAGGAAACAATCACGGGGAAATTTAAAAATTGCCCAAGAGAATACAGGTGGTAAGTGGTAAAGTGAACCTCAGACCCCAGACCACAAAACTCAAGCCCAGAAAAAGTGAGTAACCTGCCTGAAGTCCTACCCTTTGTAACAGAAGCTGAAAATGGAATCCACACTCACTGCTCTCGATAGACCCTTGCGCTGTTCAAAATTTAAATGAAAGCAGAGCTATGGCAGCTTCTCTTAGATTCTATCCAACCCACATCTACTACTGTCTCTGAGGATCTCTTGGTCTTCACAATGACTTTTGATTTTGCACTAACATTGACACACCCAATCCAAACATATAAGGGGGAAAAAAAACCCAGCCCTACAGCCTATTGGTTAAAGTAACTGGATCCTACATAGCCCACCACGTGGTTCAAATCCCAGCCCCCTGGCTTGAAAAACATGCCAAGCACAAGTGAATAGTACCCAAAATCCCAACAGGGTGGAGAAATGGAGAAGGGGTCTTGGTGTGATCACATCCCATTGGGGGTGCTTTCTTCCTCTCTCTCTTCTCTGGCACACTCCAGCCCAGATGTCTCAAGAACTCCATGCATGAGCAGAACCCTCTGGTCTATACTACTCAATACAGACTTCCAGTTTTTTTGTTTTTGTTTTTGTTTTTGTTTTTGTTTTCCAGTGACAACAGACAGGAAGCAACCAGTGGAACTACCTTGTAAACCTTGACCTTGCATATAACTGCTTCTTTCTCTCTCCTTCTTTCTTTTGCCAGAGGGTGCATGTGCTTGCTAGAGAGGAGAGAGACAGAGACAGTGAGAGGGAAAATGAAAAATCACCCATTAGGATGGGTGGACACCCCACAATCCCTTTTCTTCCATTCTCCTGAGAGTTTGAGCACGCAAGTGCACATGCCCTGTAATTTCCAAGCCGCCAGGTCCAAGGTTCAAGCCACAGTCAGCAGTCCTTAACTGCTTCTTTGTAGAAGAGGGATGCTCCTAATTAGACGCCAGGCGGGAAATGGGCGTGTTGTGTAGGAGCTCCAGCAGCTCAGGCTTTGGAAGAGCAACACTGCAGTCCCAGGAACAAAATAGGGCAGCAGTCGGTGGGTTATGATGGGGGAGGCTGCAGAAGAGGCGAGGAGGCAGAGGAAGGGGCTGTAACAGGCCAGAGAGAGCTGGGACTAGAGGAAATGGGAGCGGTGAGGGGGAGACGGGAAGATTTGGAGGTGGGATTATCCAGAATTGCAGTTTGGCAGCCAGGCTGGAAGCCTGGGGAAGCCTGGCCGGCCTGCAAGGAGACAAAGCAGAGAGGAGGAGAAGAGAGTTCAGCTGGGGACAAGTTTAGCCCCGGGAGGAAACGGGCAGATATTCTGTTTGTCTATGGAGCAACCGCAGTGTGGAATGGGAAGAGCACTTCCAGCTTAAACCAGAACATCCAGCTCTTTCTGCTATAATGTTAACTGATACTGATAAGCCTGGCCCGCTGCCATACAGCTGAGTCAGTATGATCAAATACTCCTTCAGTAGCTCTGGGAGCCATGAAGAGCGCTATCTATTTTGCCACAAGGGCTTCTATTTCAGAGTTTTCTTGCGGCTCACGAAGTTATTACTCTGGCTTCCTCCTTTTGTTTATTTGCTTTGTTTTCAAAATGTACATGTTTTTCATAGGAAAATCTGTAATACGGGAACAACTCTTAGAGCTTTTTGACATGTATAAAAGCTTGTTGTTGAAACCACAGTTAGGACATTTTTGTTGCCTAAAGACTGTTTACATGAATGTATTTGATTTTTATATCATCCTAAACAACTTGCTGTGGTCTGAATGTTTGTGCTCCCACCTCATTCACCATCTCCCAACTTCCCATACCCCTGTGACAGTATTAACAGGCGGGACTTTTGGAAAGTGATTAGCTCATGAGGGCTCCACCCTCACAAATGAGATGTGTGCCCTATAAAAGTGACTCAAGCTAGGGGACCAGCAGTTAGCGTAATGGCTATGTTGCTGGACTCCCATGTAGTTGACTGCGGTTTGAGTCCCGGACCCAGTGGCTTAAACTCACACTGGCCCCATGTGTGTGCGTGCCCAAGATCCCGAGAGGAGAATGGAGGAAAAGGGATTGCTGCGTGGCCATCCCCCCTGGGGGGTGATTTCTCGCTTTCGGTCTCTCTGTCTCTCTCTATCTTCCTGGCTCACCCTATAGCAAAAATCTCTCCAAAAAAAAAAAAAAAAAGTGACTCAAGCTAGTCCCCATGTTCTTTCTACCATATGAGAGTGCCAAAAAGGCACTGCACCATCCACCCACAAGGAACATGCCCTCACCAGACACCCAATCTGCTGGCAGCTGGATCGTGGACTTCCCAACCTCTAGGACCATGAGAAATGAATTTTAGTTGTTTATAAATTACCCAGTCTAAGAAATTTTATGTCAGTCCAGATGAACTAAGACCTCACTGAGTGAAATGTTACCAAAGGCTTCAAACAATTGCCTAAGTCATTTAATGGACGATTATTTGATGAAATATATTGGGTTGTCAGAAAAGTCAGGATGAATTTTGACATGGAAAAAATATATCATGACTTTCCTGGCAACCAAACAGATGACTGACATCTTCCCCTGCTATCGTTAAGTGTCAGCATTTGAAGGGCTTTCAAGTCACTCTTGTCTTTTCCCAAGCTGGTTTTGGTTTTTCGCTCATCCCTATTTGATCTCCCTAATAAATGAACCCTTCTTTGGCAATGATTTTAGTTTGATCAGTTCATCCTAAAATAGATTCCCTTCTGTGTCCTGTCATGACATATAGCCAGTTGTTTATAAAACAATTTATCAATGTGGCTTCCAAACGTCTTCATAAATTTTTATTTCATTTATTTTTAGGATCAATTTTCTTCCTTTTTTTCCATACGTATGAAGAGTCTTCTAAGACTTCATTTAAAAAAAAAAATTTAAAAAGCATAGGAAGTGAGAGGGGGGGATGACCACACTGCAATCCCTTTTCCATTCTCCTCTCGGGCTTTTGAGCATGCATGCACATGCACCCAGTGTGAGTTTTAAGTCACCGGGTCCAGGACTCAAACCACAGTGGACTACGTGGGAATCCAGCGACATAATCATTATGCATCTGCTGGCCCCTCAATAATCCCTTTTCTAAATCCAAATACGATCAGACTATTTCCTTGTTCTGAAACTTTCAAGAAAGCCCCACTGTTTATAGGAAAAGAAGGTGTTTTAACTTTGGGTACCTAGTGTATGTCTACTTTTTGATTTGCACAGATTATTAATTTTACTCTTCATATCAACTCCTCTGAGGCATGGACAACTATCCTTTTATTCCTGATGGGTAAACTGAGGTCACAGAGGGAGATGGGTCATGTTCACACCCCATAAATGGCAGGTGTTTCAAGTGAAGTCTCTAGGCTCCGCATTCTCTCCACCTTTGCTCGGCGTTACTAATGCTCATTCTCAAACTGCACTCATCTACCCCGTCTGCGCAGGCTGCCACGTGCAATCAGCCAGGCTGCGCACTGCACAGGGGCAACACACGTCACGGATGCTCTTCACAGAACAGGCATTTTCAGTATTCCGAAATTTTAAAATACTCTTTACAACTTTGCTAATTTTAAAGGTGAGAGACTTACTTTTTTAAAAATAATAATTATTTAATTTTATTTATCCATTCATTCATTTATTTTAATTTGACTAGAGAGAGACAGAGAGAGAGAGAAAGTGAGAAAGCAAGCCAGGTCCAGGACTTAAACCATGGTCTGCCTTGTGTGAGTCCAGCACTTCAATCACTATACCACTTGCCGGCCCTGAAGGTGAGAGACTTGTACGTTGACTATAGCTTTTTTTTGTTTGATGAAAGTAAAGTGTCT